CAGAGCAATTTTTTAAGAAAATGCTTCAAGTGTAACAGCGAAGGCCATATCGCTAAGGATTGCAAGGGCGAAGTAATATGTTACAAGTGCAACAAGAAAGGACACATTTCTAAAAATTGCGATGAGAAGAAAGCAACTATTTCCATTAAGAAAGAGCTTGCAAACGTGCTGGAAGAGAAGGCTGCGAAGGGACTCATTTACAAAAAGATGAAAGCTGAGGGAGTAACGTTCATAGCAATGATTGATTCGGGATGTGACTTGTGTTTGATGAGAGAGGACATTTTCAAAAGTTTTGACGGCTTGAAGCTAAAGCCAAAAGTTAAGCACCTGAGAGGTATCGGCAAGGGCGAACTTGCGACCGTAGGATGCTTCGACGTCGATCTTGAAGCAGATGGCGTATGCTTCTCAGTAACTTTCCATGTCGCTAAACAAAATGAACTCGAGTACGCTGCGATTGTGGGAAACGATGTTCTACAATCAGTCGACGTTATTTTCAGTTCCAACGGCGTCGAGTTCAGGGCAAAAGAGAGAGACTTTGCATCGACATTTAATGGAATGTGTGTCACGGAGATAGTCGAAGAAAGTTCTGTTCTTGATAAAATTAATTTATCTCACCTAGACGATAGCCAAAAGCTAAAGGTACAGCAGCTTGTTACAGAGTACAAGCCAATAAAATCGATAGAGTCTCCAGTAAGCATGAGAATCGTTTTGGAAGACGACATTCCTGTATATCAACGCCCAAGACGCACGTCATACGAGAACAAGTGTTTCATAGAAAGGCAAGTGCAGGAGTGGTTGGCAGAGGGAATTATTGTACCCAGCTCCTCAGAGTATGCTTCGCCAGTGGTACTGGTAGCTAAAAAGGACGGATCCAGACGATTTTGTTGCGATTATCGTCGACTCAATCAAAAAATCAAGAAGGACAATTTTCCGATGAGTCTAATTGACGATGTTCTCGACAGGTTGCAGGGCTCAAAAATATTCACAACCCTGGACATGATGAACGGATTCTTTCATGTGCCGATTGAAGAAGAATCTAGGAAGTTCACAGCGTTCGTGACGCATAACGGGCAGTACGAATTTACTCATGTACCGTTTGGTATCTCAAATTCTCCTGCTGTTTTCTGTCGTTATGTCACGGCTACGTTGAGGGATCTCATTCAAGCGCAAACAATCGTTGTCTATATGGACGATATAATCGTGCCAACTAAGAACGAATCTGAAGGACTGAAGGCGTTGGAGAAAGTATTGAGCGTAGCTTCGAGGGCTGGATTACGAATCAAGTGGGAAAAAGCACAATTTCTCAAGAGCAAGATCAATTTCTTAGGCTACACTATTGAGAACGGAACTATAGCACCCACCAACGAGAAGATTAAAGCAGTCGTCAATTTTCCAATTCCTCAAAGCAGACAAGCTTTGCAGCGCTACTTGGGTCTGACGTCATACATGCGGCGCTTCATTAAAGACTACGCCCTCACAGCAAAACCTTTAAGCGACCTTCTTCGGATGAAAAGCAACAAAAAGGACAACAGAAATCTCACGTTGACAGAGCAAGGATTACTTTCGTTTAACCTCTTGAAACAGCTACTAGTGTCAGCACCAGTACTCAAACTGTTCGATCCGATAGCCACAACCGAAGTGCATACAGATGCAAGCAAGTATGGCTTTGGAGGCGTTTTAATGCAAAGAGACTCGGAGGATCAGCAGTTCCATCCTGTAGAGTTTATGAGCAGGAAGACAAACGGTTGTGAAGAAAAGTACAGTTCCTACGAGCTCGAGGTTTTAGCAATCGTAAATGCGTTGAAAAAATGGCGAGTTTACCTCCTTGGTAAACCTTTTACTGTGGTTACCGATTGCAACGCCTTCGCAATGACGATCAAGAAGGATGACCTACCACCAAGAGTTGCCAGATGGGCCATGGCTCTGCAAGAGTTTGAATTTAAGGTAGAACACAGGGCTGGAACCAAGATGAGGCACGTGGATGCATTAAGCCGATTGTCATGCTTTCTAATCGCAGATTCCACAAAGTCACGTTTAGTGGAGGCACAGGACAACGATAGCTGGATAAAAGCTGTAAAATCCATATTAACCAACAACGATGACTACGAAGACTATTTCCTAAAAAATAATATCCTGTACAAGGACGCAGTTCTTGAGCTGTTAGTTGTTCCTAATTCAATGGAAGAGGAAATTATCAGCGTAGCACACAAGGAGGGCCACTTCGGTATAAAGAAGACTCGCGATATTCTGGAAAAGTCGTATTATATCCCTGGAATTCAACAGAAGGTAGAACGAGTTGTCAAAGCATGCGTGGAATGCCTGATCATCGACTCCAAGCGTGGAAAAAAGGAAGGGTTACTCAGTCCCATTGACAAGGCTCAGGAACCTCTCGGAACCTATCATATCGACCACGTTGGACCCCTCACCGACACGAAGAAACGCTATAACCACATTTTGGCTGTCGTGGATGGATTTTCCAAGTTTGTTTGGCTTTATCCAACAAAGTCGACTGGAACCGAAGAAGTCTTAGAAAAACTGGAAAAGCAAGCATCAGTTTTTGGCAATCCTCGCCGAATAGTTACTGACAGGGGCACCGCTTTTACTTCAGGACTCTTTAACGAGTACTGCAACCGTGAAGGAATCCAGCTTCTACACATCACCACAGGCGTACCCAGAGGTAACGGCCAAGTGGAAAGAGTTCACAAAATTGTCATCCCGATGCTCAGCAAAATGTGCCAGGAAAACCCTCTGAATTGGTATCGTCACGTAGATAGAGTTCAGCAGATAATTAACAACACTCCACCTCGAACAACTAAGTACAGTCCGTTCCAAGTCTTGACCGGATTGAATATGAGAAAGAGGGACGACGAATTCTCGAAACTTTTTGAAAACTTAGAAATAGAAGAACTAAATGACGAACGTGAAGAGATACGAAAGAAAGCTCAGCAAAATATAGAGAAAGTCCAGCAAGAAAACAGAAAGAGTTTTAACGAAAAAAGGAAGGTAGAAACTGAATATGCTGTAGGTGAATTGGTTGCCATAAAAAGAACACAGTATGGAACTGGAATGAAACTCCGTCCAAAATTTTTCGGCCCATACAAAGTAACTAAAAAACTTAATCACGGACGCTATGAAGTAAAGAAAGAAGGCAATCAGGAGGGACCAAATATTACTACAACAGCAGCCGAATATATGAAAAAATGGGGTTCATTCAGGGGCGAATGAAGATTCAGGATAGCCGATTGTGGGATATGGATATATTGACGGATTTACAGCAACCTATTTAATTTCACATGGGGACACACTGTTCAGAGTTCCGCAACCTCAAGCATTCTTCATCAGCCAAAATCGCAAAAGAGTTGCTATCCCTTTCCATCAAAGTAATCTATATCCATCACCCTCTTTCATTAAAAATTACGCCTTATAAATGTAAGCTAGTCAGTTGATGTGGAAATTTTGTCAGAGGAAGTCGTGTCATCCATAGAGTGCGAAAGTCGTGAAGTTTAAATAAAATACCTTTGTTTCTTTAATTTACTTACTATACCCGAAATAAACATTTAAATTTGTAATACCCTACATATATTATTAATACATAATTGTTATATGTCTTAGTTTTCAAATGTATAACTGAATATACCTATAGCTAATAATTTTTGTGATACCTTTCGTCATGGTGGTACGAATACTTTTTCCCGAAAATACCGATACCAAAAAAAGAAAAAAGAAAAAGAAAAAAAGTGGCATTAGGACTCGAACCTGCGACGTTTCGATTTCCAATCAAATGCTTTAGCTGTATATGCTACGGATACAGGAGTCCGGCCGCTGACAAGTTCTGAAATTGAATTTTCGGTGCGCCAAAGCAGGCGAAATCAAATACTTATATATTTTAGGAAACCTTTCTACCTTCTGTAAACATTTACATGTTTTGGGGTTAGTTTATTTAAGGGTAATGGTAATTATTAATTTTAAGAAAAGGTAATACCACCTTTTTTTGTTTTAGGGCGATTTTAGTTTGTGATAATCATTTCCTACATTTAAGAACCGATTTCTTGATTTAAGAAAATTTTCTTGATTTAAAAAAATTTCCTTCGCTTAAGAAATACATTTCTTGTTTTAAGAAATCAATTTTAATGTAGATTTTATGAAATATAGAGTTCATTTTTTTTTAGTGTAACTTGTGATGAATTGACCTACCTGAAGAGGCGCTAGTCCTGATTTTCTGAAATGGCTGTGAAAATTTCTTTAGGCTAAGAAGGCTCGAATTTCAAAAGTTGCTGCCGATACTGCCTTGTGAAGTAAGTGCACTTGCCTTCGCTTTGCTCAGAATATCTATGACATCCTTAATTTTTATGGATATCATCATATTGATTACTTTCGGGTGATGGGTGGCAATAAATTATGTAACAGTGCGGTGAGTAGTGGTATCCCATAGTCGGGATGCTCGACTGTAGCGTTCTTTATTGTTTCTTTTTTTGCAAAGGTATACATGCACACACATATACACTTTATTAATAGACAATAAAAATAATTTGCATTTAAACATTCAGTTAATGTATATGTAGTTTGTATAATAATAATATTTTAATATTTGTATTATAGTTATCGTTTCTTCATCTATCATATAGTACATATATAGAATACAAAAGTCATCTGCTTGATACCTCCATGGATGCAGGGGGGTTTTGATAGTATACCCCAGTAAACTCACCCCCCATTCCCCCTCCCTTAGAAATGATTAGGGAAAATTATAAATGCGTTTATAATACAAGAACAAAATTTTGTTCTGCGTTCGCGCCACATATTTCCAGTATTTCGAATACAGTGATTCAGGAAAGTAAAAAAAAAATTAAAGATAAATGCATTCTTCGTATGTACGTACGTCTATATCTAAATATAACAGATGGATAAAAACCAAATATAAATTGAAACGTCCTTAAAAGTCAAGTTAGTGAACCGAACTGCATTTTGGCCGTATTGTCTACATAGTGCGAAGATTTGTGACTGATTCGGCTCGAGAGTGTTTTTATCTTATAGCTAAATTCTTGGATTGATTTCGATTTGGTGCCTATTTAAATTCCATAGATTTACGTGGCTGCTATTGGATTTTGTTCGCTCACATCATCTTAGTCTGATATGTTTTTCCTTCGTTCAAAGAAAACGCGTCCAATTCGGCTGACTATATATCTCAATATCTGAGCAATTATTAATTAATTGGTGTTTGTGTTCTTTCTGTTTAATTGCTGGCTCTATCTATTTTTTTCTGCTTCATAGGATAGTAAATTATAGATAAATCAACAGTTAGCATACTAAGAAAACTAGTAAAAAAAAATAGATATTTTAAAATGGGCTAATCATTTTTAATTTCAACTTATATAAATGTTAAACTTAATCACTCAGTTGTTTCCTCTTCACTCTGCCAACTCAAAAGCACACAAACTGTTTGCCTCTCACTCGATATCTCTATCTCCTTCGATTTCACACCCACTAGACCCTCATTTCATTCCTATCCCTTACTTAGGAACTTCGACATCAATGTATTTTCTGAAAAAAGGTTGGGAATTTTCAAATTCTTTAGAATGTATCTTAATGGGAGGTATAAAAAAGAGCGGAGCACAGATAAAAAACCCATCCTTGGGTTACGAGCTGCGAACTTTGTATCATTATAATACAATATACATTGATAGTTCTACAAATAGCTAAGTTACATTTATGGTTTACCGTTATCATATCTATATATATATATGTATATCAGCCCCGTTGGGTGTATGCTCCATCTTGTGTTTCATATCGCACACACCCACCCCATATAGTTGGTAGCTCGTGCGTTCACATTCAAATGTAGTTAAAGGTCCCCTTGATCCTGCTCCAGGATCCATAAATCCCAACTCCAGACTCCTTGGAGCACGACCGTGAATTTATCGTCAGTTTCGATCATTTTCATAGGCACAATGACTGACGGTCTTTCGACAAAAATACAAATGGCAAACAAAAAATGGACACAACTCAAAACAATGAAGTCCGGAAGATAGGATCAGCACTTTGAGGCCGTATCTCCCAGTCTGCATCCATCCACCATCCGCACATATACATATATGGTTGTGCTTGGCTTTGGCTTGATCTTTATCATTATCTTTATCTTTGGCTCGTTCTGAGATCGGGATTAAGCTATTCCCTCTACCACACCTCACACTTTTCGGTGGGGTTCATTCGCTTGCCGGGCTTGCACTGGAAGACCTCGGCGAACTCCTTCATGTTCGACAATGTGCCGATCACCCGGAACTGCGACGGCGAATGCGGATCCTTCTCCATCTGCAGCAGGTTCGTCTCATCCGTAGTGCTGGAGCACCAGACCTGTACGGGTAAAATTAATCAGTATTAGCTATAAGATTTCCATTGATGCAGCAAAGTACCCACCTGGGCAAAGGACACAAAGAACAGCTGCGAGTGGGTGAGATTCAGGCCAGGCAACTTCAGGACATCCACATCACGGTCGCTCTTGGTTCGCTGGTAGGCGTGGTAGGCTGCCTTGAGGCCCCCATTGTCGGCTATGTTTTCGCCTATTTGGATTAAACATAATAATTTAAAAGCAAAGGTTAATTCTTTCTGGCTTTTTTTTGAAAATACATGGTAAAACTTTAATTATAATAATTTAATCGCAATATGAACGGAACTTAATATAAAGAATAAAGAAGGATTTTATAATGGGATATAGAAAACAAATAAAAGGTGAAAATATGTTTTTTAACTCCCTTAATAGATAAAATAAGAATTCGCGTTTTTCGTTAACAACAAAAAATTTTTTTTGGTTTTTTTTTTCGGCTCACTTTTTATTTTATATTAATTTATGTTTTTTCATTTTCTTTGCCGTATTTTTTTTGCTTTTTTTTTTACTAGGTTCACTTTTTACTTAATTCTAATTTGTGTTTTTTTTCTTTGCCTTTTTTGTCTAGGTTCACTTTTTACTTCATTCTACTTTGTGTTTTCTTTTCCTTGCCGTAATTTCTTTTTTGCTTTTTTTACTAGATTCACTTTTTACTTAATTCTAATATGTGTTTTTTCAGTGTTTTCCTCAACTATTTTCAATTACTTCCAACGAATGCAATCGGTGAATAAATTTGAAAAGCCATGCCATTTAAACTTACCGGGACTCGAACCCGGACCGGTGGTTTTCGATGTTTCAACTGGGAGTCACCTCTACTCACTCAGCTACCACCGGCGGCGAGATGACAGCGTCTAAAGGCTCCCTTAAACCTCACCTACTGGGTTTCCCAGAAAATGTCCCCCTGTCACAACTCTCAAGTCATTTTTCCGACCAGGCTTTTCGATTATGGGAAAGGTGATTGTTATCGATATGGATGCAGTGTTGATCACGTCCGTGAACCCTTATGTATGAATATTCCTTATTTTAGGGGAAAGGCACATCTCATTAAAAGGTTTAGCCTTCTAGGACTTCAAAACAATATTGTTTTGTCATCCTGCTTTTAATTGCCAACTCCAATTATTCATCAGTGGGCCTTTTTTACCCGAATTATAAGTTATGTTTTAGTGTTGGAAAAAATGTGTCACCTTAAACCAAAACTGGTCTGCCTTTTTACGGCGGTAAATATGATTTAGAATTTGAATAGATACATAACAAACTCCAAGTAACAAGCCAACAAGCCTACTTCTGTAGTGCCTAAATCCATTTCAATTTGTATGAAGGCACTTTGCACTTACATTTTCTTTGTAATGCCCCTTTTTATACCCCTGCGGAGCGTATTATTATTTCAGTAGAAGCCTGCAACGCAGTAAAGGATAAAATTAGCTTAAACGTTTTCCTTTCATTGCAGGTCGTATATAAATCACAAAGGACCGGATCGGACTACTATGTAATGGAACATTATGATCATATGCTCTTTACGGTGGACTTTTTAAAGGTTAAATGAGTTTAGGCGGTTCGCAAAGACCTCAACCTTTCCGTAATAATTACTCACACAACACATAAAATTGATTCTTCCTTTCCTTAATTTATCAACTTTTTGGTTCTGCTTAGATAGTACCTAATTACACGATGTTATACTCTATTAAGTATTGGTTTGGGTTATCATATCAAAGTAAGAAATGAAGTTTACGGCATCTAGACAAATATAAAACCGTCTAAAACTATTTATATATTTAATTTATCATGTTAATATATTTTGTTCAACTTTTTCTTTGTTATATGCATTAAGGATACCAAAAGGAAACATATAATGTGGGTGGAGTATAGTCTTTTATATATGATATAGACATTTGTTTTTAATGCAAATCAAGTAACGGGTATAAAAAAATGCAAGTAACAGCGAGCTTCTAAAATTCGGGACAAATATCCTGCGATCCACTTTACTCACCCAGCGTCTGCTTGCCGTTGAGGGTGCGTCCGTTCATCTTGTAGCCACTGTACTGGCGGGCGATGCACTCCGACTTCTCGTTGAACCGCTCGATGCTCTTGGAGTCCCACCAGCGGTTGATGTTGCCGAACTTGTCGTACTCACGCCCCTGGTCGTCGAAGGCGTGGGTCAGCTCGTGACCCATGACCACGCCCATGGCCCCGAAGTTCAGGCTCTTGGGGTTGTTGATGTCGAAGAAGGGCGTCTGCAGGATGCCCGCGGGAAAGACGATTTGGTTCTTGGTGGGCGTGTAGTAGGCGTTCACCGTCTGCGGGGTCATGCCCCAATTGGTCTTGTTCACCGGCTGGTCGAGGCGTTTCAGGTTGCTCTTCAGATTGTAGATGGCCACCTGGATGTTGTTCTCGAAGTAGGCATTCGGTGTGATGTTCAGCTCGGCGTACTTCTTGTCCAGCTCGACGGGATCTAGGATATAGTCGGGGAATCCGATCATGTCCGAGATCTCGTTGGCCTTCTCAATGGCCTTCTCGCGCGTCTGCTTGTCCACCCAGGTCAGGTTCTGTAGGTTCGTCTTGAAGGCCTCGCGGATCTCGGCGATCATCTGCTCAGCCGCCGGTTTCGATTCCCCATGGAAGGCTTGACGCACAAAGATCGCACCCACGGCAAAGCCAACCACATTGTTGGTGTCCGAAACGCAGTAGCGCCAGATCTCCTCGCCGCCATCCGATCCCATGAGGGCCTTCCTCACGCCCTTGTAGGCATCCCGGAAGGGTTTCGAAAGACAACTGGTCAAGGTGCGAACCGCCTGCCAGACGAGATAGTTGTTCAGGGTGCTGCAAGGATCAAAGGATGAGGATTAGAGACTTAAAAGTTTCAGGAATAATATGTTATTCCGCGTCCAAGGACAAACAGGGTTAAATTTTGAGATAACCCAGAGTAAAGGAGAAAACAATCAAACACAAAGAAGCTTTATTCGCTGGCGTACTATTTTCTCACTTCTTATTCTATTCTTTATATATCGTTATATCACACAATCGTTCATAAACTATCCTGGGTGCCTAAGAAATCTGGCTAAGCAACGATTGAAAAACCACTGGGACTTGTATTTGTGACCAAAATCTGAATCCCATCTTTTCCCCCAAAATAATCAATGTTTTGGCTGGCATATTGCAAATAAATTAATTTTTAATCCATTGCCAAGAAATATTTGTAAACGATGTTTACAAATTGAGATTTTCAATACAAATCTAACATTAACAAAGAAGGCTTAGACTTTTCAGTTTATAGGAATATTGACAAGAATTCTGTGACTTTAAAATAGTATCCTATAACCTGTGTTCATAATCAAATAACTTCTCATCCCTGGTAAGCGAAAGAAACAAAGTGGAAGAAAAGGACGATGGACTCACTGAGCTTACTTTAGGCATACTTTCGAGGAAAATGGTTTTCTATTTGGAGCATGTGCCGACGGGCGATCGGGTTTTTTTGGAGGAAGGTGAAAATACCATAGGACGCGACCCCGACTGCAGCATAAATATGCATTACCATTATATGTCGCGAAAGCATGTCCATATCTTAGTGGAAAACGGCAAGGTCTTCATAAAAGATCTGGTAAGATGCGGTATACGATAGTGGAACCCTCAACTAATCCTCTAATATCCATAGGAGTCCCGCAATGGCACATTTATTAACTATCTTGGGTTCCGGATTAACGAAGAATATCGGGAAATATTCGTCGACGATGTACTTATATTCGGTATTATGGTGGCCTACCATTCGGTACACAAATACCCTAAGTTCGGCATTTTCACTCTAATGGAGGAGGAGCATGACTCTGAAGATTCTGTGGGCAGTAGCCCAAATCGCGCGGACGGAAGCCCAAGTTCTGAGGGAACTAACCCAGAATCCAGGGAGTAAGAATGTAAGGGTGTCTTGGAGTTAGGAAGGATGAGCAATTGGGAATCCGGCATAGACCATAGACACACCAGCAACACCTAATGCATACATACATCTAACACTTTAACTGGAACATCAAATACACCAGCAACACCTAATGCATACATATATATAACATTTCAACTGGAACATCAAATCTTATTATTTCTTAATATCTGTGTTTTTTATTTTTATACTCGTTACTTAATTAATAGTTAATAGTTTGCTTAGAAACGGACGGACAGACGGACATGGCTAGATCGACTAACATCAGGACTATGGTACTTTGATTAACGTGAGGCTGACAATGTTCGTACAAAAAGTTCTGATATTCCTTTTTAAGTATTCCTTAAGTGAACTCACATTTTTCCCTCCTCGCTCTGTTCCATCTTGAGAATGATGTCCGATAGGTTCTTGAGGAAGTCGGGGGCGTAGACGACCACCACCTCGTCGTCGGTGACCCGGCGACCGACCATCTGCATGGCATTATCGAAATGATCCGTCCAGTTAATGAACGGAGCGAGTTTGGCTAGCTGACGCAGCTGCATTGGATGATACATGGCTTCCTCGTTGCGACGATCCTCCAGAGGAATCGTGATATTGGCCAGCTTTTTCTCGAAGTTAATGACGCCGATCATCTGGGCCCGGGCATCCGATTCGTTGGCGCCCAGTAGGACGCACACCTTGGTCATGTACTCAATGTACTCATTGAGTACTTTGCGGTGATTGTCCGTCTTGTTGTTGTAATAGTCGGCTGTGGGCAGCGTTAATCCGCCCTGATCTATCTGGATGACATGCCGCGAGGAGTTCTTGTCGTCCTCCCCAATCGCCCAGCCAAACAGGCAGTTGAAGTTATATCTGCAAAGGGGGGAAAAAACGGTTAATCCATTGGATGTTTTAATGGTTTTCACACAAACACACCCACCTGTTGTGCAGAGTCTTGAGGGTGCGGGCCATTGTCCAGTTGGCCACGTTGTAGCCGCTCTTGGTCACGTTCCATCCACCGATCTGCAGCAGGAGATCATTCATGGGCTTGGCCCCCAGTTTCTCCATGTGCTCATCCGCATCCAGGCACGACTCATAGTACACCTTGGCCTTCCGCTCCGCGTTTGACTTGAAACTCTTGGCCGGTTTCTCCAGCACATTGCGGATGATCAGCTGGTTCATCTGCTCCAACTTGCCAAAGGTGCCCCACGTGGACTTTCCCTCGGGAATGGGGTTGTTTTTGATCCACTGATTGCTGTGGGGAAGATGTGATTTTTAGTTTAATTCAAATACTCCGAGAAGAAAATAGTTCTTTCATCTTATACGTGAGCCAAAATCGATTAAAAAATATAATCAAATTGAATTTGTTTAGCTTTCAGTTGTCTTAATTTCAAAAACGAAAACCCAAGTAAAGGGTTCTTCTGTCTTGATTTCAAGAACGATTTTTCTTAAATAATGGATTAAGTAACTTAATAAGTAAGTAAATAAGTACACAGAAAAATGAGTCTTGAAATTTTTTCGTTTTTTATTTTCAATATCGCTTTATTTAAAAAAAAAAACAAACTGAAGAGTAAGTTATTCTTGATTCTTAATTTTACATGGGTCTGGAAGCGAAATATCTTTAAATGATATGCGTAGAACTTGGACCAGAATGATCGGAAAATGGAGTTTATTTTTAACTTAATAAAATATGGAACTCACCAGGAATATCCGTAAAAATCATCACAGGGATCCACGGTCACATCGATGGACTTGAGGATCTCGCTGGAGGCAAAAATACAGTGCTTATTTAAGCAGGGAAGCTCATTTCCGGAAGGACACTGCAACGAAAAGGATAATTAGGCAAGGGGTTCTTGGATTGAAAGATGACCTTTATCCACACCTTTCAAATGCGGCTGGACATGAAGGACGTGCTTGGTCGCATCGCTGCTGCCTCCGTCTGTGAAAAGGACGATCAAGAGAGTGAAGATCGTAATGGCCATTACAAAGGTGGTGATGAGCAGCCATTTCTCCGTCTTGTTCCTCGAGCGCCAATTCCATGTGGCCTGCGGCAATGAGAATCTCCCATTATCATCCAATCATTCTGGCCTCCAATGGCGGCACAAAAGATCCCTCCCCATAAATCTTCCCCAGCGGTATGTGTTTTGTAAACAATCCGAATGCAAGACGGCGGCGGTTCAAATGAGTTCAAACTTGTGTACATATGGGTATCTGTGTCTACATTAGATCAATCTCGCACACACAAGTCATTTGCGGCTTAATTCTCCCTTATATCGTAGGAGATGAAAAGATGGGCGCTATAGAAATGTATTTTCCGAGACTACATCAACTCAAAAATACACTTTACAAATAATGTTCAGTATCAAAAAGCACCAAAAGGTTAGGTAACTAGCTGTGAAAATTTGTAACAGTTTATTCAAAAGTTTGGATTTTCAATATTTCTGAAAATCTCACTCATATCTTTAAGATAAACAAAGAGATCGTTATAACCAAAGTCGTAAGCAAAGATTTTAAAAATTCTTTAGCCTGGGAAAAAATTTTATATATGCTTTTAATAATTTATAACGTAAGTATTGCTAATAACAAACCGCCGCCAAAGTCTTGGTTACCCCATCAAATGGTAGGAGTCACCTCTACTCACTCAGCTACCACCGGCGGCGAGATGACAGCGTCTAAAGGCTCCTCTAAACCCCACCTACTGGGTTTCCCAGAAAATGTCCCCCTGTTACAACTCTCAAGTCAGTTTTCCGAACAGGCTTTTCGATTATGGGCAAGGTGCCCTTTATTATTTATTATTCTATTCCTTATTATTCCTTATTTTAGAGGAAAGCCACATCTAATAAAAAGTTGAAACGTTCTAGGACTACCCAACCATTTTTTTCATCCTGCTTTTAACTGTTAATTATAGTTACCAGCAATTATTATTCATCAGGCCTTATTTATGCGAATTATTATTTGTATTTTAGTGCTGCCAAACCAACACTGGTCTGCCTTTTGAAGGTAAAATATAATTCTTTCTTTGAACTGAGATACATAAGAAACATAAAATAACCAGCGATTAAACTACTTTTCAGTGCATAAATCCATTTCGAACAGTTTGTATGAAAGGCACTTTATACTTACATTTCCTGGAAGGCCTCTTCAGAGGGAATTATGATTTCAGCCTGCAACGCAGGGAGGGATAAAACTTACTTGAAACTTTTCATTCTATTGCAGGTTGTATATAAGTTGAAAACGGACCAGAATGGACCACTTAGTAATAAAACAAGGAAGAACGCTATAGTCGAGTACCTCGACTATCAGATACCCGTTACTCAGCTAATGGGATCAAACGGAAATGGAGCTATGCAAGCAGCAAAGCGAGATTGAAATGCGCCACCTACCAGCGGTAGACAGATTTAAGCGTTATGGTTAGAGTGGGCGTGGCAAATTTTTTTGATCAGCTTGCTTAATTTGCTAACAATCCTCATCATTTTTAGGAAAATTAATTTTTTGATCAATTTTTTCATTTTTTGTAGGGGTTGTATCACTTTTTTGCGGAAAATGGCAAAAATGAAAAATTTTCAGCTTGGAATGCCAATAGATTGGAAATTAAGCAACGAGTTTAGCGAGGTATGACATTCCTGATTCTGACATTTACTTTTGTTATGGCAGCCGAAAAACTGAATTTTTTTGGCAAAAAAATGGGTTTCATTTTTTTTTCAAATATACAAAATTAAGTTTTTGGTCGAAAATGCGAAATTTTTTTTCGGTTTTTCCATCGTAGTGCAGCCAAATTAAGGCGTACAGCTAAAAGACCTACTCTTTTGATCAGCTTGCTTAATATGCTAACGACCCTTATCATTTTTAGAAAAGTTTATTTTTTGATCAAGTTTTTCATTTTTTGCATCACTTTTTTGCGAAAAATGGCAAAAATGAAAAATTTTCAGCTTGGAATGCCAATAGATTGGAAATTAAGACATTCCTGATTCTGACATATACTTTTGTTATGGCAGCCGAAAAACTGAATTTTTTTCGCAAAAAAATGGGTTCAAATTTTTTTTTAAAAATACAAAATTCAGTTTTTTGTCGAAAATGCGACATTTTTTTTTGGTTTTTCCATCGTAGTTCAGCCAAATTAAGGCGTACAGCTAAAAGACCGACTGTTTTGAACAGCTTGCTTAAGTTGCTAACGATCCTCATCATTTTTAGAAAAAATTTATTTTTTGACCAATTTTTTAATTTTTTGTGGGGGTTGCATCACTTTTTTGCGAAAAATGGCAAAAATGAAAAATCTTCAGCTTGGAATGCCAATAGATTGGAAATTAAGCAACGAGTTCAGCGAGGTATGACATTCCTGATTCTGACATATACTTCTGTTATGGCAGCCGAAAAACTGAATTTTTTTCGCAAAAAAATGGGTTCAATTTTTTTTTCAAAAATACAAAATTCAGATTTTTGTCAAAAATGCGACATTTTTTTTTGGTTTTTCCATCGTAGTTCAGCCAAATTAAGGCGTACAGCTAAAAGACCGACTGTTTTGAACAGCTTGCTTAAGTTGCTAACGATCCTCATCATTTTTAGAAAAAATTTATTTTTTGACCAATTTTTTAGTTTTTTGTAGGGGTTGCATAACTTTTTTGCGAAAAATGGCAAAAATGTAAAATTTTCAGCTTGGAATGCCAATAGATTGGAAATTAAGCAACGAGTTCAGCGAGGTATGACATTCCTGATTCTGACATATACTTTTGTTATGGCAGCCGAAAAACTGAATTTTTTTCGCAAAAAAATGGGTTCAAATTTTTTTCAACAATACAAAATTCAGTTTTTTGTCGAAAATGCGACATTTTTTTTCGGTTTTTCCATCGTAGTTCAGCCAAATTAAGGCGTACAGCTAAAAGACCGACTGTTTTGAACAGCTTGCTTAAGTTGCTAACAATCCTCATCATTTTTAGGAAAATTTATTTTTTGACCAATTTTTTAATTTATTTTAATTTATTTTGCAAAAAATGGCAAAAATGAAAAATTTTCAGCTTAGAATGCCAATAGATTGGAAATTAAGCAACGAGTTCAGCGAGGTATGACATTCCTGATTCTGACATATACTTTTGTTATGACAGCCGAAAAACGAAATTTTTGTTTGCGAAAAAATGGGTTCAATTTTTTTTCAAAAATACAAAATTCAGATTTTTGTCGAAAATGCGACATTTTTTGTCGGTTTTTCCATCGTAGTTCAGCCAAATTAAGGCGTACAGCTAAAAGACCGACTGTTTTGAGCAACTTGCTTAATATGCTCACAATCCTCATTATTTTTAGAAAAATTTATTTTTTGACCAATTTTTTAATTTTTTGTACGGGTTGCATCACTTTTTTGCAAAAAATGGCAAAAATGTAAAATTTTCAGCTTGGAATGCCAATAGATTGGAAATTAAGCAACGAGTTCAGCGAGGTATGACATTCCTGATTCTGACATATACTTTTGTTATGGCAGCCGAAAAACTGAATTTTTTTCGCAAAAAAATGGGTTCAAATTTTTTTCAAAAATACAAAATTCAGTTTTTTGTCGAAAATGCGACATTTTTTTTCGGTTTTTCCATCGTAGTTCAGCCAAATTAAGGCGTACAGCTAAAAGACCGACTGTTTTGAACAGCTTGCTTAATATGCTAACGATCCTCATCATTTTTAGAAAAAATTTATTTTTTGACCAATTTTTTAATTTTTTGTAGGGGTTGCATCACTTTTTTGCGAAAAATGGCAAAAATGAAAAATTTTCAGCTTAGAATGCCAATAGATTGGAAATTAAGCAACGAGTTCAGCGAGGTATGACATTCCTGATTCTGACATATACTTTTGTTATGGCAGCCGAAAAACGAAATTTTTTTTTGCGAAAAAATGGGTTCAATTTTTTTTCAAAAATACAAAATTCAGATTTTTGTCGAAAATGCGACATTTTTTGTCGGTTTTTCCATCGTAGTGCAGCCAAATTAAGGCGTACAGCCAAAAGACCTAATGTTTTGAGCAGCTTGCTTAATTTGCTAACGATCCTCATTATTTTTAGAAAAATTTATTTTTTGATCAATTTTTTAATTTTTTGTGGGGGTTGTATCACTTTTTTGCGAAAAATGGCAAAAATGAAAAATTTTTAGCTTAGAATGCCAATAGATTGGAAATTAAGCAACGAGTTCAGCGAGGTATGACATTCCTGATTCTGACATATACTTTTGTTATGGCAGCTGAAAAACGGAATTTTTTTTTTGCGAAAAAATGGGTTCAATTTTTTTTCAAAAATACAAAATTCAGATTTTTGTCGAAAATGCGACATTTTTTGTCGGTTTTTCCATCGTAGTTCAGCCAAATTAGGCGTATAGCTAAAAGACCGACTGTTTTGAGCAGCTTGCTTAATTTGCTAACGATCCTCATTATTTTTAGATTTATTTGGATCAATCGATAGGTATTGACGAGAACAATATATTTCAGTTAAATTTTTTTTTTTACCATTTGCGATTAATATATATTATTAATATATAATTGTTATATGTCTTAGTTTTCAAATGTATAACTGAATATACCTATAGCTAATAATTTTTGTGATACCTTTCGTCATGGTGGTACGAATACTTTTTCCCGAAAATACCGATAACAAAAAAAGAAAAAAGAAAAAGAAAAAAAGTGGCATTAGGACTCGAACCTGCGACGTTTTGATATCCAATCAAATGCTTTAGCTGTATATGCTACGGATACAGGAGTCCGGCCGCTGACAAGTTCTGAAATTGAATTTTCGGTGCGCCAAAGCAGGCGAAATCAAATACTTATATATTTTAGGAAACCTTTCTACCTTCTGTAAACATTTACATGTTTTGGGGTTAGTTTATTTAAGGGTAATGGTAATTATTAATTTTAAGAAAAGGTAATACCACGGCGATTTTAGTTTGTGATAATCATTTCCTACATTTAAGAACCGATTTCTTGATTTAAGAAAATTTTCTTGATTTAAAAAAATTTCCTTCGCTTAAGAAATACATTTCTTGTTTTAAGAAATCAATTTTAATGTAGATTTTATGAAATATAGAGTTCATTTTTTTTAGTGTAACTTGTGATG